GTGAGGGTTGCAATTTCTCTATCTCCTCAACATTTGCTATTGCCTATCTTTGTATTATAGCCATCCTAGTGGGTCTGAAGTGGCATCTCATGTGGTTTGGGTTTGCAGTTCTGTAATGACTTATGATATGGAGCATCTTTGTTTTTTTAATAACATGTTTTTATTGATTCCAGAGAGAGGAAAGGGGATGGAGAGAGAGAGAGATAGAAACATCAATGATGGGAGAGAATCACTGATCACCTGCCTCCTGCATGCCCCCAACTGAGGATCGAACCTGAAACCCAGGCACGTGCCCTGACCGGAATCGAACCACGATCTCCTGGCTCGTAGGCTGACGCTCAGCCACTGAGCCACACTGGCCGGGCTGGAGAGTCTTTTTGTGTACTTGATGGTCATTTGTGTTTCTTCTTTGGGGAAATGTCTATTCACATCCTTTGCCCATTTTATTTTATTTTATTATTATGTTTGAATCCTCATCCAAGGATATTTTTCCCGTTTATTTTTAGAGAGGATGAAAGGGAGGGAGGAGGGGGAGAAAGAGAGAGAAACATTGATGTAAGAGAGACACATTGATTGGTTGACTCCCACATATGCTCCAGCTGGGGCTGGGGATGGAACCTGCAACTGAGGTACGTGCCCTAGATCAGGAATCGAACCCATGACCCTGTAGTCCGTGGGCTGATACTTTAACCACTGAGTCAAACCAGCCAGGGCCTTTGTCCATTTTTAATTGGGTTGCCCTTCTCTGTTAAAGCATGTTTTATAATAGCCAGTGTTTTCAGAGAAGTATGGATGGGTGCAGATTTTTAGAAATGGCGACATGTGTTCGAGGTGTGCGTGTGCTGCTGTGTCCTCCTCACTTGGCTGGCGGTTACAGATGCAGAGAGGGGACCAAGTAGACGTGTTGGCCTTGGGGTTTCTGGAAGATTATCTGTGGTCTGGGCAGCCTGCTTGCCAGTCTGTGCTCCCTCCACCCTCCCTGCCTGCACTGGTGCTCAGCGGCTCAGCTGCCCTGAGGACACAAGGATAGGGAAGGACGGTGGGGCCAGGTATATCTTTTGTGGACATTATTTGAAACTTGTGTATCTGCATTAGTTCTCTTTCTTCCCTCTGGCCTTGGTGTTCTAAGCATTTACCTCCGTCCCTGCCCCTGGAAGGGCTCCGGGGAGGGGTGCTGCCCCAGGTCTGCCCGCTTCCTGCCTGTGCCCTGACCCCTGACCCGAAATCGAACCGTGACCTCCTGGCTCACAGGTTGACGCCCAGCAGGAGGTCCGTGGTAGCCGTGCTTATTTGAATTGATCTTGTTAGGAACAAAATATTACATTAAATTTCCTTTTTATAAAGTTCCCAATCCAGCTATTAAATTCAGGAAAATGGTTGTTTCCTAACAACCACTTCTAGGTAGGTGTTCCTATCCTTACCCAGTGGGTCTGACACTAAGGACTCATAGGTGACCCCTCCACTCCCATCCGTGTATTTAAAATGACTGGGATTTCTGAAATGTTGGCCGCCACTTCGCGCTTCTCAGTGAAATGGTGGACGTTCCCTCTTCGGATGTGCGGAGTGAGTTCCAAACCCTGTAGATGCTGGGATAATGGGGTCCGACCCTGGCCCAGTGGCAGCCTGAGGACTGAGCGGCCAGGCCTCCTTCTGGCCCACACAGCCCCTCCCCTGTCAGGCGCTAGAATGTCCCAGGACTATATACCGGCGCTTTTGGGCTGTGTGTGTGTGTGTTTTAATAATTGAAGTGATTGTTATAACCAAAAACTAAAATTGTAGGG